CATTAAATGTTACAGTTGTAATCGATTCAATAATTTTATTTGAGCATATTTTTTGAAAGTATTTAATTTGGCAAGTATAATAATATTAATATAAATAATTTTTATAATATAGTAAAAATAAAAAGGAATGCAAGAGAACAAAAGAAAAAAAAAACTATTACAAGTTTTTTTTTATATAACTTAAGAATAAGCAAGACTTCCAAACTTGAGTAAACTTTAATCAAATGTTCCATTCTATTGTACCAGTTGTTTTGAAAGTTTTAAGTTCTTGAATTGAAACTTACTTGTAATGAAGAGTATAAAATATTTTTTTTGATTAAAGTTACTATAAAAGAAAATTTTTTAACAAAATGAATATAATTAAGAAAGAGTTTTTTTATAAATATTTTTTATTATTATTTAGAGTTTATTATAAAAAAGTCAATATTAAATCTATTGATTAATTGATTATATAAGAGATATTGTTACTTTCTTTATATATAAATTTTTTTTATATTTTTACAATAAATAATAATGTTTGTTTATTTTAAAAGAAATATTAAAACAAATACATATTTATCAAAAATTAATTAATAAAATCATTATATTTACTTATTTATTAAACCCGTCAAATTTATTATATTTTAATTATAATATAATTTGTAAATTGTTTTTAAAAATATATATAATATTCAACAAATAATTTTAAAAAAAAAATTATTATATCAAATAAATTTTCAAGTATTAATAAAAATTAAACAAAAATTTTAAGCAATAATATTATAATTACAAATAATAAAAATAGTAATATTCCATTATATAAATAATGTTAAATAATGTTTTTTAAGAATTGATAATAAAATTACTAGTATGGCTTGAATTAATTTATATACTTGCACTTTATATAATCTTTTTGCAAGAAACAACTGAGACTAAATAATATAACAATTAATAAAGTATTTGATATTTTATATCTAATGCTTGTTTTTTTTTTTTTAATAAAAATCAATTAATTAAAAGAAGGTTGAGTAAAGGTAAATTTAAAAAAGAAAAATAATAAAAGTTTAAAAAATATACAGTATTTAAAGACTACAATAAAATTATATCTTACTTAAATTTTTTATTTATTTAAATGTTTTAGCTAAAAATTATCTGAATTAAAAGGTTTGAACTATTTCAATATTTCGTACAATCATGTTCTCTATCCCTGTTTGAACCAACACCGTAACGTGCGTGCCAAGATTCCCAGTTTCTTAGTCACCTTGTGAGTTGGCAGAAACTTTTGTTCGTATGTCATAAAAAACGTAATTGTTCATAAACCATTAATATTTAGTATCGTTCCACAATTTATAAAATTATACGTTAATATAATATTTATATATAGCAGAAAAAAAGGTAATTTTTAATTCTACATAAAAAAAATTTTATGTATTACATAAATTAAAGTTTATCTTAAAAAAGAAAACTCAATTTCTTCTCTCATGACCGAATTTCAATCTCTTACTACTCTTATCAAACGTTTAGAGGCAGCTACTTCTCGACTAGAAGATCTAGCTACTTCTAATGTTTCGAATGTTAGTGCGAATAATTTTGTCTCTCCAACAAACATCGCCGCGGTATCTAAAACTGAACCGCCCGTTCTTGAGGCGTATGATGAATTAATTGAAGGCCCATTAAAAAATTTTCTTGAACTATCCAAGACTATAGGAGGTCTTGTTCTTGATCAGGTTAGGCCATAATGTATATTTATTTTATTTCGTGCTTGTTAAATTCCGGTCCAAATCTTCGATCTCTTGATATTTCGTCTAATATCAAAATACGTGATGTGATTTATAATTAGAGTCACTCTGTTGAAGATATCTTTACAGCACAGCGCGATTTTATACATATTGCCACAGAAAGCAAAAAACCTGAAGTTCCTAACACGATTATTGAGTTGATTAGACCAACTCAACAAGCTCTCGAAAAGGTTTGCGCATACACAGAAAAAAATCGACCTTCTCCTTTTTTCAATCACTTGTCTACAGTTAGTGAGGGTATTGGCGCTCTAGGTTGGGTTACTATAGAACAAAAGCCTGGACCATATGTTGGGGACTTGAAAGACAGTTCTCAATTTTACGCGAACCGTGTAATTACAGAATTTAAGGACAAGTATGCAACATGAGATCATTTTCAACATTGCCTTTTATTGATATTTAACTATTCTAAAACTGCATTCTATAATTTTAAATTTAGAGATCGTACTCATGTTGATTGGGCGAATAGTTTCGTCTTTCTGTTGGCAGAGCTTCAAAATTATGTTAAAAAGTTTCACACTACTGGTCTCACTTGGAATCCAAAGGTCTTATTTCATTGGCCTTGTTCATTTAATTTTATTATAAAAATATGTCTAACTAACGGTGAATTATAGGGTGTTGATCCAGATACATTTATTGGTCGAACTCCTTCAAAATCAAAAACTACCTCATCTTCAACAGGTGCGCCACCACCACCACCACCACCACCGCCACCACCACCTCCAGTTATAGACTATGATTTATCTGGTCAAGGAAAGTCGGTTGATATGAGTTCAGTATTTGCTGAAATCAACCGTGGAGAAGGTATTACATCTACTTTAAGGAAAGTAGATAAAAGTCAAATGACGCACAAAAATCCAAGTCTACGAGAGAGTAGCGTGGTTTCTGACGTAGGAGGTATTATATACAATTTTTTTTATTAATATGTATCATAAAATTGTTATCTTACATTATTTTTTATAACAGCTAAGGCCCAAAAAAAGGGACCTGCAGCACCACCTAAGCCTGCATCACTGTCCCTTAAAAAACAGCCTAAAAAAACACTTGAAGGCAATAAATGGAAGATTGTGAGTTGTTTTATAAAACCTGCAAATTTTATATTATTTATTCATTGTGAATTTTATATATAGGAAAACTTTGAAAACGATACCAATATAGTGGTTGAGAATACAGCCATCAATCATGCTGTATATATATATGGTTGTAAAAACTCAACAATACAAATTAAAGGAAAGATCAATACTATTACATTAGGTAAGTCTATACATCGGATGACATGTTTGTGAATTTTTTTAATATTAATTATTTATTGATTTATATAGATTCGTGTCATAAAACTGGTCTTCTTTTGGATTCTATAGTTTCTACTGTTGATATTGTAGATTGCAAATCATTCCAACTCCAAATTCAGGGAAAAACACCGATTATTGTAGTTGACAAATCTGATATTGGCAACATATATTTATCGGAAGAATGCCTCGACGTTGAAATTCTAACTTCTAAAAGTTCATCGATCAATGTCAACTTACCAGGGTTAAGTGAAGATGGAGATTATGTTGAAAGACCTATTCCTGAACAGTTGAAGAGTAAGATTGTGGACGGAAAGATTAATTCTGTTCCTATGGAATTTATGGATTAATACTATTGGCATTGATGTAATAATATTATGTGTGAAATTGATTTTTTACCTTTGATCTCAGGTGTATTATATTATAAACTCATTTCTGTGATGTAAAACCGTAATTAAAGTTTTTATATTTAAAGCTAATGTTTTGCTGTTTTTAATGAAATCAAAAATCCAACAATAAACATTCTCAATTTAAGCAGTAACATTAAATAGGGAAAGGTCTTTCTTTATATGGTCAAAATACACCTGGTCTGCTAAAGCATTCTAGTTTTCAAATTTCAAAAAATACACAATTTTTTTTTTGGTCTTGAAATATTAATCACATTCATACGATTAATTAGAAACTTCTATAAAATAACTATAATAATTTAATTGTCTTTAAAAAAAAGCTTTTTTATTAATATTTTCAACATGAAATAATATAACTTATTACTTGAGTATAAATTATATAGTAATTATTATAAATTTGAATAATTATTTTTTAAAAACTTAAGTATAAGTTATACTTTAAATTTTTTAAAAAAAAAAAACTTTGCAAAATTATCAGTTTTTTAAAAAATTGTCTTTTTTGGAACACCTTTAAACAAAATTATCTTTAATCACAAGAAAGCCATAAAAAACTATAGAAAACTATAATTAAAATATAAAACAACTGATCAGAAAAATAAATTTACTTTATGAAATACATTTGTTATTAACAATTTCTTGCTTGATACTTCTTTTCTTTTCAAATAGATAAATTTTATAAGAAAAAAAGAAAAGCTCTACTTAAAGTATATTTCCTGAAACATAATTCAAGTCAATAGAAACTCAAAAAAAAAAATAATAACATTTACTCTTATAACAACATACTAGCTAGAGAAAACAGATCAACTATTCTTTTTACAAACTTGACCTGTTAATGAAAATATCTTATTTCTAGAAGTATATAAGAAACTATACATGTAATAGAAATTATTGAATTAAGTTAAATACAATTAAAAATAAAAAATTTAACAATTGAGTCAAATTATATTTTTTTATAGTTGATACAATTATTTTGAAGAAATTATTTTAATATAATTATTTTGATACAATTATTTTAATGCAATTATTTTGATATAATTATTTGATGCAATTATTATTTTAATATAATTATTTTGTTTAAAATTAAATTGATAAATTATCCTATTTAAAATTATTAAAATTAAATTGATATAATTATTTAAATTTAAATTAAATTAATATACTATAATTATTTTTAATTTTTATATAAAATTCTTTAATATAATACCAAACGGTTAGAGACATGTAATTGTAACATACAGCCTTGCTTCAAAACCCGCAATATCAATGATCTCAAATCCATATGGTCAACAAAAAGAAATGGTCACCACTACATTCTTAACAATCTGCAAGAACTTACTAATAGCATCGACCCCGGACCCCCTTACATTCCAACTATAACTATACTCCATCAGTCTTTACCCTCAGCACCAATCCATTATACAATATACTTTTTAAACAATACCACAATTACCACACACGATTCTCAGACAGTCCTCACATACAATTTGAATCCTAATCCCCTCTCTCTGTTCTGGTCAATTCTTACCTCACTCTGTTTAAACGCTCCTCAGCTATCTACAATCACCTGCTTTTCCATATACAGACTCAGTACAGAACTACCTGAATACACTAACTGTCAAGTAAAATACCCTCACAGCAACCTCATTCAAATTATCAATACAAAACTCAAAAGCAAACAGATTACTCTAACCTGGGCCTTCGACAAAAAAGAATTCCCCTCAACAATTTCTTAAGGCAAACCGACACCTATTCCCCTTGTACTTCCAACTGCCCATAGCACATCCCCACTAATTAACACCAATCTTGCAACCAGTATCACACGATGGATCAAATTTATAAACTATTACACCAACCTCTTCAATATTCTTTTAAGTGAATATGCTATAAACAAATCTAGAAGCTTCTCCGAAATGGATATTATTATCAAATTTAACAAAAAACTGTCAGAAACAGATAGACTAAAATTTCGATCACTAGCAACCTTCAGAACCAAAATTATAGCAAATCAACTTCCTACCCGAGATAAACTTCACAAAAGATACCCTCTTCTCTACAAGGACAATCTGTGCCCCCGGTGTGAGGCATATCCAGAAATCTTAGACCATATATTTTCATGTCACCACAGTCTCCCCACACTAAGGAAAAAAAGAGACAAACTCAAGGCCTTCATCGCTCTCAATATCCCCAAAGAGAAACTCAATTCAAGGGAGGCATACCTTCTCCAAACAACCAACACAACAGGCAAAATTTTACTTAACTT